CAGTTAAGTCTAACAATTATTTTGTGTTCACGGGCTTGTTTGCGTATATATAGTGGTGGGTCCCTTATCATTGCCCCATTTCGGGCCGCGTGTCCGCGCATCGCGGGATCATCTCGGGCTGGCCCGCCCCGAGTTCTATCCGTGCCTCAGGGCTCCCGGGGGCAGCAGAGCCGCTGTCTGTCCTTCCGTCCGTCGGTCAGTGTGAAGCCTTACCCCTCCCCACCCCCAGCTGCTCTCCGGCTGGGGACACGGCGAATTCCGGGCATTCTCAACACGCAGGTCGCCCGATGGTGCTCCACGTCCCCGCTGACTCCGGGGCCTACCCAGCCCAGTCATTTTGGGTTATCCACAGCCAGTCAACTTTCCAAACATGGCCGCAGTCTACCAAGCATGGGTGCTCGGCTAGCTTCGTTGGTAAAGCGTGAGACACTTAATCTCAGGGTCCTTGGTTTGAGCCCCACGTTGGGCATTCTTTTGACAGAATCTCTAAGCAATTCCTGGCATTCGGTTTAGGTACAAAATGCACCAAAGGCTAGTCCGACGAACAGGGTCCAGACGCTGCCACATCTGCAGCCTGTCAGTTCGCAATGAGTCACCCCGCCCAAGCTCTCACAGGCCTGGAGTCTCCTCCTTACGGTGGGTCCGCGAACCCACTTGATTCCTCAACTTCTTTAACCAAAGGAACCTTAGAAATGGGTCCATCAAAGATTTGAACCTGGCTACCAGACAAAAGCCACCCACCAGTTTCTTCTTTGGTTTATTTAGTCGACGGAGCGAGCTGCTACTATTATCTGTGCATCTGCAAGACAGCATGGTGTAAAAAGCTTAACTTATACTAGGATATTCCTTTGGGAGTGAGGGGTGTACTGGATTCCAAGTCACAATCGTCTCTCAAACAGGAGTGACCCTACAGGGCAGAGGAGCCCAGACCACTGTGAGGAAGGACGAGGGTGAAAACCAGGGTGGGCATGTCCATATCTGGTGAATGCGACAGCGGTGTGTCCCACATCCCAACTACTCTTTTTTTTTTGCGGTATGTGGGCCTCTCACCGTTGTGGCCTCTCCCGTTGCGGAGCACAGGCTCCGGACGCGCAGGCTCAACAGCCATGGCTCACGGGCCTAGCCGCTCCGTGGCATGTGGGATCTTCCCGCACCGGGGCACGAACCCGTGTCCCCTGCATCGGCAGGCAGGCTCTCAACCACTGTGCCACCAGGGAAGCCCCCAACTACTCTTTAAAAGAGGGGCTCGTCCGGGACTTGAACCCGGGACCTCTCACACCCTAAGCGAGAATCATACCACTAGACCAACGAGCCACCTCCTGAGGATCATTTGTTCTCCTCTTGAGTTCAACGTGGCTCTGTCCTCACTGGTCTGGACTGTCTCAGTTTTCTCATCCATGGATCGTTTCCCTTTTCCCCACGAATGTCAGGGAAGGATTTGATTCCATGGACAGGAGGGGGATGGGAAGGTTCAGCATTGCCACACTCTGAGACTCCCAAGTCGGCAAGTCCCGATGCGGGTTTTGGAGGGTCCCGCTCCTCTGCTCTCCTCTCCGCCTGTGGAAAACTGAGACGATCAGCTCAGGAGAACGTCCCCAGGTCCCTCTTCCGTCACCGGGCTAAGGGCTGGGCAGCGGAGTGAAGCTGAGAGCCGGGTTTGGCCCCCCGCCCCTGGTGTGGTGGGCTCCCCGGACGCCCCCGGGACCACCCCCCCCACCCCCACGCCACTCACTGGATAGACCCGCCGCGGGGTCCCGAGTCTCACACCCCGTCCAGATCAGAGAACTGCCTCCCGGAGCCCCAGACTCGCGTCCCAGTGCAGACAGCAGCTGGGAAGGTGCCCCGGAGAGGGGGTTTAGGTAGGGAGCAAAAGGATAAAGGAGGAAGTTGAGGAAACTCAGGGAGCCCTCAGGGGACACTCCCCGCCCCGCGTTGCCATTGCCGTTGCCACTGCTGTGACCTGGGTCACGGCCCCTCCATGTCCGCTGAGCACACCCAGACACCAGACTTCAGTGTCCAGGCCCGATCTGGCCACTCAAGTCCAACTGGGATCTGGGTCCGCCACCCCCTGGGTCTGCCACATGATCCATCCTCACAGGCCCTGACCCCACACCAGCTCTGCCAGGGATTCCATTTCTGCCATAAAATGACCAGAAAAAGCAAACTGGGCTCCTCGGGGATTTGAAGCCAAAGTGAGGGTAAGAACTCGTCCACAGGGACCTTCCTCTGCAGTTCGCAATTCCTGTTCACTGGACAAATGCCCAACTGGAGGCAGGCCCTAGACTGAGGGCATGGGTAAAGGGGAGCAGACGCCGGGAGCCAAAGGGGGTTAAGGCAGGCCTGAGGGAGGGACACCACTGACACAGAAGAGGACTTTGCAGAGGAAATAACCTGCTGGTGGAGGCAGTAGTGCTTTCCCCTCAAGAAAAGGGAAGTCTTAAAAGGCTCTGGCTATAGGAGAAGAAAGTGCTGGCCAGGGAGCCTGGTTACCCCGGTTGACCCCCACCAGGCCTCAGGGGTGGGAGAGGCCTCCCTGGACATCCAAGTGGGGCCCGGGGTTCTGTGCAGGAAACCCACTTGCTCGGGGACTTGAGAGTCAGGAGGCATGAAAGGGGCACCCAGCATGCACGACCCTGGGCTTAACTGGAGAAACCCAAGCGTTTAGGTCAGAGAAGAGGCCCACCAGCCCCCTGCCCCCTCTGCATGTTCTGGGAAGATCTGGCTCTTCGGCAGCTCACCTGGCAGGGGCTCTGTGCCATAATCCCCTGGGCCTGGGATCAGGAAGCTCTTCCCAGATTGGGGGACCTGAAATTTCAACCAAAGCCTCAGTCCCTGCCCGTGTCACACTTGTCTTTTCTTTTCTGTATTCTGATTCTTTGATGTCTGGAGCCTTGCTGATTCTGGAGGGAATGCCCCTCCCAAGGTTGGCCAATTCTAGGAGATAGTAAACAATTCCTCTGCCAGCAGGCATTTCAGATACAAACCAACCAATCCAGAGTCCACAAATACCTGTTTTATCAGACTCTTACACTCTGGGCCACAACCCATCTGCCAGAATCACCTCAAGGCTGGGAAACAGAAAACTAGGGACAGCACCTATGCCCCAGAGCCCAGTGAAATTATTCAAACTAACCCATTTAAACCTGTTTTCCCTGCCTCACCTGTTTCACCTTTCGTGAAACCACAATAAAGCCTCTTTTGCCCACATTTTCTTCTCATTCCTTCCGCCTCCTGACTGACTCTGGTGCTTCCCCTGTGCCCCCCTCCCCCAACGTGGAGGCGTGCCCCCTCCTCTTGGAAACTGTAACAAGCCATCTTCTCAATGGCTGGATCTGTTGGCCTCAGAGAATAATAATAAAAACCTATGTAAACATTGCCGTTCTTCCAACTTGGAGAAGAGACCCCGTGTCTAGAGCACCGCCCTCTGGACACCTGTGGAGACCCCAGGTCCTTCGCGGTCCCCATGCTCAGTCTCCGATGCGGTTTCCTTCCTTCCCTTGGTCGTGGAAGGCCCTTTGGCAGCCCCTCAAGTAGGAAAAAGACGTTGAAACGTGGGCTTGTCCGGAATTTGAATTTATGACCCAAAGCAAAAATACATGCCCAGACCAAGTTACATCGTTCTCCAGTTCCAGGGACCGTCTGGCACACAGACCTGGTCTCCAGCCAGCGGAGACAGAAGTGTTTGCCCCCGCCCCGTTAGGGCTCCTTCCCCCAGCGCCAGGCCTCCAGGCCAGTCCCGGAGCCCCGAGGACGAAGCCTCCGGTCTGGAAACACCCGCCCCAAGCGGAGCGATGGCCACTTGGCAGCACGGAACTGGGCGCAGCCCGATCGGATCGCGAAAGGCGGGGACCAAGATCTTCTCGCTTAGGACTCCGTAGAGCTCCGGAGTCTTCAGCCCGAAAACTGGGGATGTCTGAAAAAAAGAAAGTGGGGCTCAACCAGAATTTGAACCCGCGACTTCTCGCACGCCAAAACGAGAATCATACCCCCAGACCAACCAGCCGGCGCCTGAATCGCTCCTGACGTCTGTCTTTGGAAGCCTGAGACCGCGGCTCCGCCCCCCGATCCTGGGCAGAGTTCTGGCGGCCGGGCCCCGCAGGAACTTGCGCCGGAGGAGGTTTCGGTTTCGATTCCAGAAGAAGAAGAAGAGTTGCAGCGCTGCCGGAACCTCACGGAGAGGGGGCTCCCGCACACTAGGGCCCTAGAGCCGCAGAGCCAGACTCCCCCAGGCCACGAGGGCCACCCAGTCTCCAACAGCTAGAGGAGGGGACGGGCGACCAGGAGGAGGAGGGAGTCCCTGTGGCCCGGGTGAGTGTGAAAATCTCCCAGGCCAGAAATTTCACCCAATATGGGACACAAATCCAAGACCTCGAGAATGAGACTCTGCCACCTCCCAACCGGCCAGTCCGGGTGAGCCTCGAGCATCTCGGGGTCCCTCTTGGCCTGAGCTTGGCCCCAGAAAACCCTCACAGTTCTGGAACCCTGATGTAGGGGTCAGAACTGGCGTTGGTGCGCGCTTCTTCCTGAACGGCGCTGCCCCGCTAGCAAGGAGTCCAGCATCCACCTGGAAAGGAAGGCCTCCCTGGCTTGTCCCCGAGGCGAGGCCATGGAGCCTTCCTGGTTTGCTTCAGGCTACTCGTCGAAAAGAGGGCTGAGAGTTTGATGATGAGAAATCATCCCTTATTGGAACCCGACACCTCCCACAACCTAAGTGAGGATCACACCGCGATCCTTACTAGTCTCTAGTGATACCCAACCACGTGCCCTTGCCCCCGACTTTCCAGCTCCCTGGAGCTGCTGGGACTACACAGACCCACGGCCGGACAGCAGACAGGAACTTGTTGGGGCTCTTGTCCTCTGCTGAAAGGACCCGAGAATTCAGCACTCCAGTGCCCGAGATGCAGTGTGCACAGGATCCAGGGTTTGTCCCTACCATTTTTAGGACAGTAAAGTTCTGAAGAAATACAACTAGTTTGTGAGGAGCATCCTTTTCTAACCTTGCCTGGCTAGCTCAATCGGTACAGCATGAGACTCTTAATCTCAGGGTTGTGGGTGCGAGCCCCACGTTAGACATGACTTTTGCCCTCAGGGCTTGGCTTCACAGGTAAGCAGAGATGATATTACAGAAGTGGCCAGATCCATATAAACTAAGCCTCTTCCAAAGGAGGATCTGTTGCTGGTCCAGGGAGGCCGGCATGTGGCCACCAACCTCGAATCTCACCGGAGCAACTTGCTTTTGTCTCATTAATATTTTATTATATACGTTTTGGAATTTAAAAGTTGAAACTTACTCCACAGTTCCAGATACAGCACACAGAGTGGGTCAGGAGCCCCTCTGAGAGGTTCCTTTTCTAAGAACTTTCTTGAAATTCCCGCAATCGGGGCAAGCGCTTATCAGGCCAAGAATTATCGCCCAAAGTAGGACTTGAACCCATTCAGTCTCAGTTCTACACCCGGAACGAGAGCTACAACAGGAGACTTGGAAATGGATTTTCAGCTAACTCTGGCCCTAAGCAGGGACTACGTGATGCTCCATCCGGGGGTGTTCCCCACCCAGGACCCTCGCCTCCCCCAACCCTGTGTGTCCCCACGTGCATTTGCTTCAGTTTTCCTCCCTCCTGAGACAGAGATACAGCAGGGAAGGGAGCCCCTCATCTGGCCGTTATTCCTGTCCCAGCCCCTCTCCCCTTTCGAAAGTAGAAAGAAAGTTGGAAATCGTGGGCTACTCCAAGTAGAGGTTGGGTGTCCCACTCCTTGAGAGGCAGCAGTGAGGGAAATGTGAGTTCCTTTCTTGGGGTGGGGTAGGGGAACCAGAAGGGTTAGCAACACCGGCCCTGAGGCTCTCATGATGTCGGGTCGTCTGGGTATCCAGGTTTCCAAGGTGGGGGCCAACGGGGGGCAGGAGAGGGCTTGGCAGTGGGGAGGTGCCTGCCAGGTTGTGTCCCTCTTGGTGCCTGGATTGGGGCACCCTACTCGTCCAAAAGAGAGAGAGACTATATTCATCAGAGTTCTGTTGTAGTCTATTTTTCTGGAGAACTCAGAGAGAGAGAGAAAGAGAGCGAGAGGAAGGGGAAAGTGAGGGAGAGATTGTGATTGATTGTAAAAATTGGCTCACATGATTGTGGGGATCCCAAAGTGAAATGTGCGGGGTGGGAATTCCATCAAGAGTCCATGTTGCAGACTGGAGTCAGAAGGCAGTCCAAGGCAAAATTCTGTCCTCTTGGGGGTAATCTTAGTCTTCTCTCTTAAGACCTTCAATTGATTGGGAGAAGCCCACCCACATTATGGGAAGATAATTTGATTTACTCAACTCTACTGATTTAAATGTTAGTCACATCTAAAAAATACCTTCACAGCAACATCTAGACTGGTGTTTGACCAAACATCTGGGCACCATAGCCTGGCCAAATTCACACACAAAATTACCCATCACAGGGTCCTGTCAAAGTGCTGGGCTTCCTTCCAGACTTGTGGTTGCCAAGGGGGAGGAGGGTAGGGAAGGGATCGATTGGGAGTTAGAGGTTAGCCAACGCAAACTATTATATATAGACTGGATAAACAACAAGGTCCTACTGTGTAGCACAGGGAACTATATTCAATAGTCTGTGATAAACCATAATGGAAAAGAATTTTTAAAAGAATATATATATGTATAACTGAATTGCTTTGCTGTACAGCAGAAACTAACACAACATTGTAAATCAACTATACTTCAATTTTTTTAAAAGTGCTGAGCTTCCTTCTTAATAATAGGAGAGACAAGGTACAAAAGCTTACCTTCTACTTTGGATGTGTCCCAGTAGGCACCAGACCAGAAAACAGTACCTCCCAAGCTTCTCAGAGATGCTGTTGCGTCTCCTCAAGCATGCAAGTCTTATTGCCTCCGTGAATAGCATTTCCTGCAGGCACTGCCAAGATCCATAGTCTGTTCCATTGCAGCATGCTGTAGAGCCATGCTGGCGAGCCAGTATCTCTGTCCCTTCTGATTCCTTCTTTCACAGTTTGCCATGGCATTTCTGGCAATTCTACTTCATTTAATGTAGGCCATTGCTTTTTCCATCCTTCCAAGTGCCATGCCAGCTGAGTATCACAACCAGTTTGAGGGACCATGCCAGGCGTTAAGTTCTGTGTCGTGAAAGAGTGTCCCATATGATAATCTCTCCTTTTTCCAGCTTTTTATTCTCCTCACCCAGATCCAGGACCATCAGGATCCACTCTGGGCAGACTCTCCAGGTCACCGCTGACACATCATCCAGATCCTACAGAAGCAGTCCCAGTACTTTCCCAGTTGAGTCATGCTGGGATGTGACCCTAGTATTTGGTATGGTGGCCTGGAGGGGAAGTTGGAGCAGGTCTGAAGTGACCAAATGTTTTGTAAAATACCTGCCTCATTTGAGGTTCCTCCTAGTCTCCAGGCAAGGGGGTGGAGGCCTGGGCCCCCACAGCAGGCCCCGAGAGTTCAAGGCTGTCAATGCAGCTACCCAGATATATCCATTCCAAGTTTGATGGCCCCGAGCGTTCAAGGTTCTCAATGCAGCTATTCAGATATCCCATTGCAAGTTTGAGGGTCCCATTTCTTCCCTATCAGCACCCTGACATTGGTCCAGGAAATTTGCTGAGACTGAGAATTCAAGTCTGCCTCAAGGCCTGCTCCTGAGCCTGGCCTTCAGCTTTATCGGCCCTTCAGCTGTAGAAGATGTAGGTTGCTTTCAATGCTGCCAGAGCAGCCTCTGATGTTCACACTGCTTTGAATTGGTGATTAGTCCACAGGAGGCTGTCATTCTCGGGTTTCAATGCATTAAAGACATTGAAACATTTTTGTTTCAATGCGTCAACACATAATTCCACAATGCTTACAATGATCACATTTCCACTGTATCTCCAAAATGCCAGAGACATGGGGTGAGCTCCCTCCCATACAGCCATCCCAGTTCAACGGGGACAAAAGGCTTAATAATTGCATGGCTCCAGCATACCCGGGTCTCTCAGAAGTCTACCTACCACCAGTGATGTTCTCCTTGGTGCCAGGCAGCCAGAAGGTGATTCAACCTTGGAATCTTGTAACCGAGCAGGACCCTATGGGGCCTTCCAGGGACAGATCCCCCCATGTCCTCCGCCTGCCCTCATCTGTAGAAAACATTAGCCTTCTAGGCCTTCCCCAAGTTCCAAAGAATAAATTTAATCAGAGAAGTGAGAAAATGCAGAAAGAAAGGAAAACAGTCAAGCAAGACAGTGGTTTAGCCATTAAACAAAGTCAGGCACATTTAGCTCCTCCTCAAGGGCTGTAGATAATATTCTGAGCTGTTTTGCAGAGCCTGAAACCCTCACCAGGTGGTAGAAGTTAACTGTAGATTGCCCAAAAGCACGTATGTAGACCCCAGACCGGTTGGAACCAGAAGGTTGATGATGTTGACTCCCAATTACCTCACCACCAACCAATCAGAAGAATGTCCATGAGCTGATCACACACCTCCACAACCCCCATCCCTCACCTTGTCTTTAAAAACCTTTCCCTGACAGCCATCTGGGGAGTTCGGGCCTTTCGAACGCTAGCTTACTGGGCTCCTTGCGCGATGCCTGCAATAAACGCTGCACTTTCCTTCACCACCACCCGGTGTCAGCAGATTGGCTTTATTGCACAAAGCTGAGCAGACCCAAGTTTGGTTCGGTAACATTCTCATTCTTAGAGTCTGTTTCCAACTATTTTAGGACAAGTTTCCAGGGATTTTTGTGTAGTCAGTCCATGAAGGGAACACTCTGAGGAGGCATCTGTAAGGAAGCGGGGGAAGCAGGATAGACCCATGGGCCAGTACTTAAACTTTTATCCCTCAGCTTCAAACTCACCCTGTAGACCCCACTTAGTGACACAGTAGGTCCTCTACATACGAACGAGTTCCATTCCGAGAGCACGTTCGTAAGTCCAATTTGTTCCTAAGTCCAACAAAGTTAGCCTAGGTACCCAACTAATACAATCGGCTATGTAGTACTGTACTGTAATAGGTTTATAATACTTTTCGCACAAATAGTACATAAAAAACACAAAATGAAAACATTTTTAATCTTACAGTACAGTACCTTGAAAAGTACAGTAGTACCAGCTACATCACTGCTGTTTTTATGCTTGCTTCCGGACATCCTGGGCTTGAAATAAAGACACTGTGCTACTGTCCTCTATACAGTACTGTACAGTAAAGTACACAAAAGCACAACCACTTGTATAGGATGCACGCATGTGACAATATACGCCAGACACGTGAACTAACTTACGTGATTAGACATGCGAACACACATTCGCATCTTTGAAAGTACGCAGCTTGAAGGTTCGTATGTGGGGGACTGACTGTACTGCGCTTTGCCAGAGGATCTGTGTCATATTTTGCCGATAGAAGGCACTCGAGAGGCTGAAAGGCTGGCGGAGGAAGAAGGGACTCTACTTCCTGTTTGCTTCCCGTTCCTACTGCCACCCACCCCACCCAGCCTCACTTTTTTATTCCTGCAATAGTAGTTATTTCCAGAAATGGCAGCTGAATCCAGCTTGTTTTCTCAGCACTCACAGAACCACCCTCATCATGGCTCATGAGAGACATCTGCGCAAGCTGACGGAGGCCCCCTCCTCAGGCGTCTGGGGACGCCAGTCCCAGGGGACCCTCCTCTGAGCTCAGCTGAGCTGCTCCTCTTTTCCAGAGATTGGTGTGTTTTTGTTTTTGTTTTTATTTTTGCGTTACGCGGGCCTCTCACCGTTGTGGCCTCTCCTGTTGCAGAGCACAGGCTCCGGACGCGCAGGCTCAGCGGCCATGGCTCACGGGCCCAGCCGCTCCGCGGCATGTAGGATCTTCCCGGACCGGGGCTCGAACCTGTGCCCCCTGCAACGGCAGGCGGACTCTCAACCACTGAGCCACCAGGGAAGCCCCAGAGATTGGTTTTTAAGCTCCACAATTTCTCTCCAAGCTTCTAACTTTTAATAATCCCAACCTCTTCCCGTGGTCCTCCAGCCCCATGGGTGGTAGCTGCTTTCTCACGGTTCCCTTCTGCCTTCTCAACTGCCTCCTTAACAATGCTTTTTACATAGTTACCAGTTTTCATTAGTCTTACAGTAACAAATAGGTTTTCTTACCCTCCCCCAGCTTTATTGAGGTATAATTGACAAATAAAAATGATATATATTGAAGGTGTATAACGTGAGGATTTGATATATCTATACCTCGTGAAATGATTACCACAATCAAGCTAATTAACACATCCATCACTTCACAAAGTTACCTTCTGTGTGTGCGTGTGCGTGTTGAGAATACTTAAGATCTACTCTTAGCAATTTGAAGTTAACAATACGGTATTATTAACTATAATCACCATACTGTATATTAGATCCCCACAACTTATTCGTCTTATAATTAAAAGCTTGTATCCTTGTACCAACCTCTCCCCATTACCCCCACCCGCCAACGGATGGGTTTTTTGACTGCTGCGTGGACCCTGGTTTGGTAATGAATTTGGGCTTGAGCTCCTTGCCAATGGGAAATGGGATACTGGTGACTCGTGGCATGCAAGGGCATCGTTATCAAGCCGCCTATCACCTGGTTGATTATGATGAAGTGCCGACTGAAGCAAGTGCCCTGGGAGACCACTTGGCTGCTGCACTTGACTCTTATGGCAGTAAAGGTGACTACAAGGACTGTGGCATGGAAAGGATTCTCCTGGGTGCATCCGTTTGCTTAAAGAAAGAAAATGACAAGATCAGGCCTTTAAATTTTCAGCCTAAGTCATGTTCAGAGATCCAGGGACGTTTTCTGGCAGCCATAAAATAATCGTATAGCTGCAGGGCTGACATTGCTGAAAATCAAACACATAATCGAATGAAGTATGTTGTGGAATGACAATGTAAGTTGAGTTCATAGACTTGGGAGATCTTCCATGTGGAAGAAACGGCATTGATTATGAAGGAGTGGAGCCGAAGCCTGGGGACATCTAGGTAGGCTCAGACCTAGTTGAGAATCTTGAACCCCTGAGTCATTTGGAGCCTCCCTTGCCAGTGAAAGCAGCCTGTCCTCTGATACCTGAGAAGAGTAGCCTTCCTGTGTTTGAATATCCTATAATAATCTCACCTGGAGCATGGCAGGTGAGACAGGGGATGACGGTTCTCCTCAAAGCCCACACCAGCCAGCCTTGTTACCCCCTAACACTGGTTGCCCTATAACTACAATCAGATCAGCATGCTGTAGGAGAAGGACAAAGGCTGGCCTGGGAGGAAATCATTCATATGCCAAAAGAATTGCAAATTTTTTCATTTATGCCAGCAGAGAACTCGGGAATGTGTGTGGGAATGGACCCAAGGATGTTAGAATAAGGAGGATGGGATTTTTGCAACTGGTGACATTATTTCTCTGGGTGCACTTCCCAGCAAGCTGTATCTAATGTGTTATCTTGTGCAGCTGAATGTGGCTCTGCCAGTTTTCTTAGTTGGTTGGCTAAGCATGGAACTCAATGGTGGCCTATGTTTAAGGAGATTAAGATTCAAGAATGTTCCTGGCATCATGTAGAGAAAGGAATCCAAAGACTCTGTGAGACAGAAATACTGGAACGGGTCTATCATACACGAAAAGCACACCCACCACCCCACTGAGAGGGCCCCAGGGACATTCCCTTCAACAAGGCATTGAGAAACGTTGGTGAGGGAAGCACCCGCAGCCTTGGATAGCTCTGTGGTCGCTGTTCTCTGCAGGCCACATATGATGGTGGGAGATGCCGCATTGAGACGAGGTCCCTGGTTTGAGTAGGGATGATGGGACCTCAGGTGCTCGGGAAAGCAGAAGTAAGGCCAGAGCTTGAGGAACAGAAGAGTCCCATCCATGGTTTTTAAAAATAAAAGAGAACTATGTGTATATATGACAAAGCCTCAGCGGCCACCTCCTCTTTGGGCATGTGGTAAAGGAGGCTTCTGATTTTACTCCACCATGTCCTGCAGTTTGGGAGATTTTTACCTTGAGGATGAAGGCATGGATTAAAAAGAGAGAAAACTTTATTATGGGCAAAATCTGAAAACACGCACATCTTTATCAGAAAAGTAAACCTTGTCCAACTTCGCTATAGGGTGGCATCTAGCTAAACCCCAGGGCCCCTTAATTTCCCACTAGGGTAAGTAGACAGCTAGCTTCATTTCATTTTTCCTCTGGCAGAAAGTTTAAAATACTACCTCCTGTACCCCGGGTGGGACTCGAACCCACAATCCCTGGCTTAGGAGGCCAATGCCTTATCCATTAGGCCACCGGGGCTGATGAGAAACGTTTTACAACAGTCCTAAACCAGTCTTTCTGTCACCTCCCCGCGGTTCCTGCACATTACGCACAGCCTGCCGGCTCCAGCTCGGCGGGTCCTTGGTCCCCTTGAGGTCCGTATTCGGCGGGTGCATCCTCTTAGATCCCGCCGGTTCCCGAGCATCCTGGGGCTCGGGAGAGATCGCACACACGCGGATGGAGCTGAGGTACGATCCTCGCTTAGGATATAGGAAGTCTGCGGATCAAGTCCCGGAGGAGCCCTTTCCCCATCTTTTTAGGAGAATCCGAGTCCTGGGATAATTAACATCAAGAAGGCGTTCGAGGGGGCAGGAGCGCGCCCGCGGCGGTGCGGACGGCCGGGCCATGGCCGAGAAGTTCGACCACCTGGAGGAGCACCTGGAGAAGTTCGTGGAGAACATCCGGCAGCTCGGCATCATCGTCAGCGACTTCCAGCCCAGCAGCCAGGCCGGGCTCAACCAGAAGCTGAATTTTATTGTTACTGGCTTACAGGATATCGATAAGTGCAGACAGCAACTTCATGATATTACTGTCCCTTTAGAAGTTTTTGAATACATAGATCAAGGTCGAAATCCCCAACTCTATACCAAAGAGTGCCTGGAGAGGGCTCTGGCTAAAAATGAACAAGTTAAAGGCAAGATTGACACAATGAAGAAATTTAAAAGCCTGTTGATTCAAGAACTTTCTAAAGTATTTCCTGAGGACATGGCTAAGTACTGGAGCATCTGGGGGGAAGACCATCCTCCTTCCTAACTCCCTCCTCCGTCTGTCTGAAGATCCTCCTAGCCCTGCACGAGTGGCCATGACCTTCAGGCAGCCTTGACTGAGCGGCACCAATGCTGTTTCCTGGGCCCATCCTCCCGCCACCTTGTCCTCGTCGTTGGCCTCTGGGGACGGCAGGGCCTGGAGGGCGTGCGGGGCTGTGCCACCAGCTGCCCCCTCTCCCTGACGTGCTCTGTTTGGTCCTCTAGCTCTCAGGGGACTGGTGATCACACAACTTTGAGTGCGATGTGTATGATTCTCCATGGCCAAATAGTCTTGGAAATATTAAATATGATAGGTAAAGTAAAAGTTTAAAAAAATTATACCTAATAGTTTTCTTTTAATATACTTTCTGTTCTTTTTTTTCTTTCTTTTATAGTGTCAAAGAAAGCTAAACAAAAAAACAAAAGGAAAACTTGGTTTAATATAAGTACTTTAAATGCGTTTTGTATTTTATATTTTTAAGTATAGTGCATAAAGAATGTGTTCAATGGAACTGTGTTTCCATAGATTTCAGTTAGTCTAATAAAATAAAGTCTTTAAGTACTTAAAAAAAAAAAAGAAGGCGTTCGTTATGCAAAATGTGGGAGCGGAAGGGAGAGAGGCAACAGCCAGGAGCTTGGGAAAAGTGTCGGTCGCTATCTTCATCCTCCTCCCTACGTTGCCCCTTAGACCAAAAGTGTTTCCTGGTTCCAAGTCTGTGCAGTTTTTAGCAGAGCCCAATGGCCTTAGGTCTTTGTCCTAAGGATGCTCCGTAATGGCTCTGTATCTGCCCGGCCAGCTCAGTTGGTAGAGAGTGAAACTAGTATCAGAGGACCCAGCGTTTACTTTCCCACCAGAAGATGGGTATTCTTTGCCATCTCTAAAGTATTTGTCTTACTGTGGCTACCAGAGGCGGGGTGGAGGGAGGCGTGGGGGGAATTAGATGAAGGTAGTCAAAAGGTACAAACTTCCAGTTATAAGTAAGTACTAGAGGCGTAGTATTCAACGTGATAAAGAGAATTAACATTGCTGTACGTTATAAGAAGAGTTAATCCTAAGAGTTAAGACAGAAAATCCTATGAGTTCTCATCACAGGTTGATGAATGGTCACTAAACCTGTGATAAGCATTTCATGATGTATGTAAGTCAAATCATTATGCTGTACACCTTAAACTTATACAGTGCTGTATGTCAATTATATCTCAATAAAAGTAGGGAAAATAATAAAAATGTTTATCTTAATGAAGTTTCTCTTTTTATTTATAAGCCCTTAGTAAACCACTGAGACATCACAAAAACGATAAAGGAGATGGTGACACTCCTCATGACCCCAAGGTCACCTGCGCCCACTGTAGGGGTACACGCTCAGCTGCCATTCCCCCAGTGTTTTCCCTGGTGGGAGGAGGTCCCATCACTTTGCTCATTCCGCTTAGCCAGAATCCCTTGGTAAGAACTCGGTTCCGCACGTAGAGTCGTTTTTTCCAGGTAAAATGATGACTGAATCCTGGGCATATTCTTTACATTTAAATTTTTAAAAAAACATTCACACTAATCATTTAAGGGTATACTCTCACTGCAAGAAATCGAAATAATCTATTAATTTCTTTTCACATTTTTTATTGTGGTAAAATATACGCTTAAGGTTAAATTTGCCATTTTAACCATTTTTAACTGTACAATTTACTGGCATCAGTTACATTTACAATATTGTGCAAGCATCATTACTATCTATTTCCAAAACTTCATCACAATAATCTATTATATTTTTAAATGCCCCTGTCCACTGACCCCTTGGGGGTGACCTACCCGTGCAAAAATTCAACCACTCATCTGTCGCAGTTCTCGTCGTCTGAACTATATTCATGCAGCCAGTCCCGTGTGGGCTCCCGGCACTCACGGCCGGTGGGCTTCAGAGTCAGCATTTCGTCTGGATCTGAGCACTATAGGTCCTCCCAGCGCCCTCGGGGCCTCCCAGGTGTCCCGAGCTACGCAGCTGCAGGTGCAGCGCTACGTCCGAGGGGCGGACATGGCCCGAGGATCCTAGGCCCGCGTAGGGAGCAGTCTGGAGAGAGGGAAAAGTGTTTGTTTGTTTGTTTTTTACCCGGAGTAGAAAAAGCAATCTCTGCAACGACCACGAAGGGACTCGAACCCTCAATCTTCTGATCCGGAATCAGACGCCTTATCCATTAGGCCACGCGGCCTTGCCGTTATTTCTATTGCAGCTTTTCTCATAAAGCTTTCTCAGGCGCCTGTTCAATATGCCGTAATACGCATGCTCACACTGGCAAGGAGCCCCGCCCCTCGGGCTCGGTGTGAGCGGGGCTCCAAGCTGTGCGACTGAGCGCTACTGAGCACAGCCCAAGTGAGGGTTCGAGCCTGGGTGAGGCTGCCCAAGCCCCTCCTGTCCCGAGAGGCTCCTGATCTCTTCTCCCACGTGACCCCGGCCCGCAGTGGGTCAGGAGTTGCCCTCTGCTCCCCCAGCCCCTTTGCTTCCCCTATCACAGCACTGCTAAACCTGCCATGCTCTGTTCCAGTCTTATGGCCCCAGAATGGACTCTGACTGCTGTATAGGCAGAGGCCCTGTCCGTGGCCCCAGCGTGGTGTGCAGGTGGGGTGCGCGTGCTGGGAGGATGGTGTGGACCCCGCGCTGCCCTTTCCCAGGACATCCAGCTCAGCCTAGCCCATGTTGGGTTTCTTAGAGCCGGAGGCTGCCCTGGCGCCTCCCCTGCTCCCCCTCCTCACCCGGTGGGCCCAGCCTCTGAAGTGCCAGGCACTCTGCATACATTATCTCACTTAGTGTCACAGCTCCCTGCGTGCAGGCGCTATTCACGTGTACAGCGATCATCATGTTTATTCCATGGCGGCTGAGCCTCCCGTGCTATCGCGCCGCTTTTAGATGAGGAAACCGAGGAGCGGATGGGGTCAGGGATGGCGTTGGTGTGTGGCCACCCACAGTCAGCATCCCCTTGGTAGCCGCGGGCTCAGTCAGGCCTGCAGGCAGAGCCAGCACCTCAACGAGCTGCGGATCTCCAGACAGGCCTTGCGGTGCTCATCACAGTAGGGACCCAGCACGTCTAGCTTGCACACCTGCCAACTGACCTGTGCCGACCACACCCAGCCTGTGCCCAGGACTGCCAGGTCCCCCAGCGCCCAGCCTGGCATCCAGTGTATTGTAAGGCCTAAAGTTTCAAGTGTTGCCTTCACATCTTTGGGTCTCACAGGCCCCGTTGGTTTCCCCTGCTCTTGTCAGCTGTACCCCCCGACCCAGCAGGGAAGGCCCCCCCATCCCGCTAGTTCCCCCACCAGCCAGATCAGCCACACTCCACCCCAGTTCCCTGCCAGCCTGTGAAATTATTCAAACTAGTACCCCACCCCGTTACTACAAAGTCTGCATCTACAACCCCTGCTGGTTCCCTGTACTTCCCAGGGAAACACTGAGTGGCCAGAATGGCCTGAGGTGTCCTCCTCCCCCAGCTGTGAGTATATGTGGTTAATAACTGCTGTCCGTCTCACTGTCCAGGGCCGGGTGTTGTGTGTTCAACCGTCTCATACTATTGAGGGCGGGGTATCCCTCCCTCTGCAATGGGGTGAATAGGAGGTGACCAGAACACCAGGGCTGAGAAGAAGGATGAATCCAGCTCCTCTCCCCAGGAGACCCCCCACCCCCAACTCACCTCAGTCATCAGCTCCAGGAGGTCTTCCCTGGGGTCAGCTCTGAGGACCTCCACCAGCATCTGGATAAAGTCTGAGCCCTTCTCATCCCGAAAGGCTACACAGCCCAGGCCAGGGCACCAGGGCCAGAGTGTCAGACTCAGGCCCCTGCCAGCTGCCTTCCTATTGCCTCCCCAGGGGCCTATTGTTGGTGGAGGTGGGGGCAAGCACACAGGACCCCAGCAGTCAGGCAAGAGAATGGGGCAGGGGAGCAGGAACTTCTCGCTTCCGGATCAAGTTGTTGCTCAATGTTTGTGTAGTGAATATACAATGGATTCAATATCGAAGAAACATTTACTGTGAACCTACTACGTGCCAGGCACTGGCCAGGGCCCTGAGGCAGACAGAACTGTCCTGCCCTCATGGAACTTACAGCCTAGAGGAAAGGATGTAGGTACAGTGCTTAGCAGAGCCAGCCTTCAATATGTGCTCACCATCGTTACTATTATCATAAATAATATACATGGAAGGAAGACGGCTTAACTGCGACGAGGCTGGTACCCCTGCACCCCAACAGCCAAGCGCCAGATGCCCCTAAAGCCACTTCAGATCTCTGGCCAGGAGGCTAGGCCCTGTGTAATGGGCTTTGTGGAGACCCATCCCCTTACCTTCAGTGGCTGCGTAGACCATCAAGATGTCTGCTTGGTTAGGGCTCCCTGGAGTGGGGCCCCCGGAGAAGCTGCCTGCAAGAGGGACCAATGCCTTTTACCCAGCGTCCTGGGACTCCACCAGCCCCAAGGGTCTCCTCCAGTCTTGCTCAAGGGCACACAGGGCAGTAGAAAGAGTGCAGAGCAGGAAAGCCAGATCAAGTTTCAAATCTCAGCCCTGCTGCTTCTTACCAGCTGTGTGACCTCGGAAAAGCTATTTCACCTTCACTTGTTTCAGGCTCAAGTAGGGGAAGAAACTCTCCATTTTCAAAGGCCTTTGCCATTTAAGGTTTTCCTTCCCATCTTCTTGACGAAGAGAGGAAGGAGGTGGCAGCAGGATCCCAGCTCAGAGCCCTGGAAGTGCTCTCCAGACAGCTCCCCCCACCAGCCCCGCCCAAGCCCAGGCTCCCTGAGGTAGGTAGACCCACCTTGCACATCAGCATAGATGTGGAGGACATCGGCCGGGGGAGGGGGTGGCTGGTGGTGCCTGCAGCCAGAGCCACAACCAGGGGAGAGTGTGCGTCCCACACCAGTGTGCGTCCCTGTGCCCTGGGGAAGGAGGGAACAGTCAGGTCCTTTCACTCAGGAGATACCTGGGGGTGCTTCCAGGGCTCTAGCCCCCAGAGCTCCTGGGCAGGCTGCCAGGCTGGAAACATTCAGAGCACCGAATGACAGGTGCTGAGGGTGAAGTGCTCAAGTTCATGGACATGACCCCTAGGAGAGGTTGGGAGAGGGGGTGGGGAAAGGGCAGGGCTCACTCAGGCTTCTTGGAGGAGGTGGACAGCAAGTCCTGGGAGGCTGAGGGCTGGGTGAGGAGAGCCAGGGCTGCAGGAGGCTGGCTGGAGGGAAGGACCCGGCCAAGCCTCCAGGGCGGGCTCCAGGCCCTGCTCACCCCACGGCAAGCCTGAAGCAGGAAGATCTTGGGGCAGCCCCACAGGGCCCTACAGCAGCTCAGCTCCTGCACCAGCGCCTCTGGCTGCACCTCTTACCTATCAGCCCCCAGTAGCTGCCCCTGAGGCCCCCCCGTGGGCCATCAGGGCCACAAGGGCACAGCTCACAGGGCCCCTGCAGGCATCCAGCCACTCCCAGAAATGGACCATCTCCTCCTGGAAAGTCTGGGGGTGGGGATGAGATCAGGCCTGGGCCACAGTCACGGCCTCCCTAGCATCTGGTGGCCCTCTCTCTGGGTGGTTTCTCTAACCCCTTACCACACTACCTCCCACCTCCTTCCAGCCTCAGGCCCGGGGAGCAAGTCCTTTTACTTTCTTTCTTTTTTAAAAAATTAAAAAAAAATTTTCTGGCGGTGCCATGTGGCATGTGGGATCGTAGTTCCCCGACCAGGTATCAAACCTGTGCCACCGGTATTAGCAGGCAGATTCTTAACCACTGGACCACGAGGGAAGTCCCACAAGTTCTTTTCCTAACCTTCTGGTTGCATGGCCTCATTGGAGGTGACGTGGGTCCAGCCTCCTGCAGCTGGTTCTCTGGTCCCCCTGGAGAAGCTGCACCAAAAAGTTAAGAGCTGTGAGGGGAGGGCAGTGAGCTGACAGGTGTCTGGGAAGGAACCTGAGACCCTCCCAGGAAAAGCCTGAGGGTCCAGCCAGGGCCTTGAGCAGGGGAGAGGAGAAATGGCCAGTGTGGGGGGCTTCAGGGTCCCTGGAGACTGTGCTTCCAGAGTCAGGGAAGTGGGTTCTGGATGCGTGCAGCAGGGAGGATGGAGGCTAAACTTGGGGGTGCACTTCCTGCCCACGATTGGTAAGAGGCTAAGGAGAGAGTACCCAGGGTCCTGGTGGGGGGTGCCTTCCTCAGAGCACCACCACAAGTTCTGGGCTTCCCCTCACCTGGGCTGTAGGGTCTGTCTTCAGGGTGGTCTCGAAGCCCAGGGCCTGGCACAGGTCCCCAGTGCCTTCACATCGTGCTGGGCCCCAGGCCGGTCCTGGGTCACGGCCAGGAAGAGGGCGGCCCTGGCCCCAGACAGGTCACACTGAGCGCTGGGGCTGGGTTTTGGCTACAGACAGGATTAAGGTGGATTCAAAGTGGTCTGAGGACCTCCCAGCTCCTCGCCTCCCTGCCTCAGGTCTCCCGAGCCTCTCTCCCAGTCGAAACTGTTGCCACAGAAAAGCAAACATGTATTAAAAAATAAAATAAACCAAGATAAATGTCAAAAAAAAAAAAAAAAAAGAAACTGCTGCCACATGGTTGGACCCCAGCCCTGTCCTGCTCATCTCGGGCCCCCAGAGCTCCACGTCCCCAAGGAGCTCCCAAATACCGGGCAGTAGGTAGCCCCTGAGGACTCTTCAGCTGTCCAGCAGAAGACCTGGTGGGGGTTAGGGCTGGAGGACGCCTCAGGCAGCCGCTCCGTGCGGGTGCAGTTATGGGGGAGCAGGACCCTGGCTCCACGGAACAGCTTGGCCAGGCTCCTGGCTACCACAGTTTCTTTGGTAAGGACTAGTTTGGTGCAGGTGGGGGCGTGTTAGAGACCCTAACCAGACCCTAACCCTGCCAGACACTAACCCTGCCAGAATGGAGGGAGGAGGAGACAGACAAAAGAAAGGGAGGGCCCGAGGGGGGTCCTAGTTCAGGCTGAATCACAGGATTCCCAGGACATGGATGGCCTCAGGTAGACACTGGCTGCACCATTAGCCATGCTGTTCCCTGGGGTCCAGGGATCAGCGTGCACAGAGATGGGGCGCTCCCAGAGCGGGTCAGGGCCTGTCTGGGAAGGCTCGCAGGGTGGGCACCGCCTGGGGAGGCCGGGGAGAACTGTGGAGCAGAGCTGGGGCCCATTCTCACCTCCAGTGACAACCCAACTGCCCACTGAGACCTTTGGGCCTCGGGACCAGACCTGAATCATCCCCAACCCTGGACCCCAGGGACCCACAGTCTGACGAGACAGTCACTGCCAGGTAAGTGTGAACAGGGGTGGATGGGAATACAAGTGTCAACCCAGGGATTGTAAGGGGCATGGTTGACGCCTGGAAGGGTCTGTGTGAGGCTAGGTCGAGAGGGAGGGATGCCAAGCAGAGGGAGCAGCCTGGGCAAAGGCACGGAGCTGAGAAGATACTGCAACGTGTGGGGGACCCTGAGTGGGTTGTGAGGACGGGCGTGGGTGGGGGTGGGAGGCGAGGCTTTGAAGCTGACACCCATTGCAGGCAACACGGCCTTATGTTGTGGAATGAATGGGTGGAGGCAATGGGTTCAGGACAACACAGCAGAGCCACAGCCCCCCTCCTGGACGCCCCTTCTGGGCCTTCACCTGGTCAGCAGCTGCAGCGACCAGTGAAGACGACGGCCACAGAGCTCGCCCAGGCCAGTGAGGAAGGCTCCAGGCTTGGGGGTAGCTGGGTGGGGAAGCAGCACATAGGCCTGGAGGGAGGGTCTCAGCCCTCCTGCCCACCCCCCAGACCCGCTTTGCCCTGCCCCGCAACTGGGGGTCCCTGGCCAGCCCACTCACCCCCGGGGGGAAGTGGAGAGCAGCAGGAAGACTTGGGGCAGCCCCACCAGCCTCACAGTGGCTCAGCTCCTGGACAGCTGCTGGGGCTGCCTCAGCTGCTCACTGGGGGCCACCAAGGCCAGTAGAGCACAGCCCACAGGGCCCCCGTGGGCATCCAGCTGCTCCCGGAACCTAACCAGTTCCCCACGGAAACCCTAGGGCAAGAGCGAGTGCTGGGCCTGAGTCCAGGGAGGCCCCAGGTGGGACTGGGGGCAGAGGTGGGAAGAGGCAGGCGAGGGCTCACCTGGACCAAGGCCTCCCACCTCTTGCAGCTCTCAAAGCCCAGCGTCCGGAACACACCCTCCAGGACAGCGAGTGTAGAGGCTGACACCTCAGGACTGCTGAGTGTCAGGGTCACCCTTGGATCCTGCCCACTGTACTTACCTTGGGGAGGCAAGGCCAGAGTCGGGCCAGGGTAGGGCTCAGCTGGGAGCCAGCTGGGCTGGGTCAGGGCGTGCCTCCGACTACCTTTCTTCCCAGGCTGTCCCGAGCATCTGCCATCTGCGAGGCCACCTGCAGGGTCCCAGACACCAGGAAAGCCATGGGGCTATGTGGGGGTTTCCTCCGAGCACAGAGTTCACCTCCCGGGCCCAGTGCCAATGCTCTTGGTCCCAACCCTTGGCCTCTCCCTGAGTCCCATCCTATCAGCTCTGTTTATGAGCTGAGCTGGACCCTGTCCCCTGCCCTGGAACCCTGCGTTCTGGGCCCTACGACCCCAGGCCCTGCTCTGTTCCCTGGCTCCAGCGGGCTGCTTCCTGGCTGGCACTAACACGCCCCCACCTGCACCAGGAGCCTGTGTCCAATCCTATTCTTAGCTCCTGGCCCACCTGCTATCTGATCTCGTTACACCCCAGTGTCTCCCTTCTGAGACAGCCACCAGCACCAAAAAAATTTGTGCACTGCTCCCGCCACCCATCACCCCTACTCACTCATTCAGGGCACCCACACACGTGCACGTGCGCACACACACACACAGCAACTGCCAGCCTGAGGGCATGGGGAGCAGTGAAGGGCATCATCCCAGAGGTAGAAACCCCGGGCTGGACTCAGCTGTCCAGTGAGACCCCGGCGGCTTTATCTGGGAAATGGGGTCTGTCCAGTGACCTCAGGATGAAGCCCGGGTTAAATGGGGGCGCAGAGAGGCTGGCACACACACACTGCGGGACAAAACATCTTGTCTCAGCCCGCCCCCACCGCCTCTCAGGTGGCCCCTGAAGCCACCACCTGGTGAATCAGAAAGGACTCGGTGGGGTAGAAGGTGCTCTCAGCACGTGCCTACCAGCTCCACAGGGCCCAGCCTGGGGATGGCGGGAGCGGGGGGGAGGTCAGATGTGAAGGGCTGGGTGGGGATGGGGCATGGCCCATTTTGACTCAGCAGCACTCTCTCCCTAAGGGATTTGAGCACAGGGTCCAGCTTATTGCTCCAGATCCTCTACGGGCAGCATGAGCCACCACCCTGACCAGTCACGGACTCTGAGCCTGGTTCCTCATTTCATCAAAGGGAGAGAAGGAGTGGCCTCGTAAAGACCCCACTCCCAGTCAGCTCCCTCACTCTCCTGCTGAGTAGGGAGGGGTGCCACCAGCTGTCCCATCCTGAGCTGTCCTCAGACTAGGACAGGCACTAGCTGACAGGATGAAGGACCCAAGGCTCATGGCAGCCCTTGGGGCCCAGGTGACCTGGAAGCCAAGAATGTGGCTCCACCTGATGACCATCCAGCATCACGTGCCACTAGGACCACCAGGCCAGGAGGCCCAGGGGTACGAATTCCAGGTCCCCCCCAACCCCCAGCAGCCACCTAAAGAACAAGAATAGCCTGGAGAAAGTTTTCATGTTTATTCAACCTTTCTGCTGCCCTTTGAGGCCAGCTGGGCCAGCTCCTTGGGAGGGCCTGTGGTCTGTCCCTGTGAATGCCCTTCTGCAGGGAATACAGCGCCTCAGGAGTTAGTGACAAGGTGCTGATGGAGTGCTAGTGTTAAGTACCATAAACCCCGAAACTCCAGGAGACTGGGGAGCAGCGGGGGCAGCGGGCCTCCGCTGGCCCTGTTCTTGGTCTGCACAGTTGGCCTCTGTCCCTGGAGCCAACACCACCCTCCCCAGACAGGTAGAGGGTGACTCTTGGGAACTCAGCTGGGGGCGAGCTGGCTGAGGGCAGAGGCAGGCAGCTTGCATGCTGCTGGGACAGCACAGAGCGGTCAAGGTCCGGAAATGGTGGAGGCCAGAAAGCCCCTGTGGCTGCACCCAGGACCCAGGTCCTCATGGGTGTGGGCTGACTGACCCTCCCAGAGCCCAGCAGTACCCTAAGGCTTAGCCTTCACCCCCGTGGGAAGGCACAGGATGGCAGGACAGGAGGCCCAGCTCATAGACCCAGCCAAGAAGGCCGGGAACAGAGAGCGACGGGGCCAAGCAAGGCTTAGGGGGTTCTGGGATGGAGACCCCAGGCCTGCTCGAGTCCTCATACGTCCCTGTGCCCCAGCTTCTCCCCTGTGCTCATGCCACCAGCCTGGAATGTGCCGGGGCTCCAGGAAACCAGGGGGCAAGAAAAACCCCAGAGCAGTTAGGGGCATGGCCACGAGGTCACAAGGGATTCCATGCCTGGTGGGCGTTGGCCAGGTCCCCAGGCGGGCAGGGCTGATGGGTTCTGCACATGGGGGACCCTGCAGTCCTGCCGGCAGCGGAGATGGTGGACTGGGCCGGGTGGGGACCCTGCCTGGGCTGCCCTTCCGACCCTCACCCCACAGGCTGGGCCATCTTGGCGTGCAGGCTCTGGTGGGCGATGAGGTGGGCGCGCTGCTTGAAGCTCTTGTCGCACTCGCCGCAGCCGAAGGGCCGCTCACCCGTGTGCACGCGCCGGTGGTCCAGCAGGTAGGAGCGCAGTGAGAAGCTCTTGCCGCAGTCACTGCAGCCGAAAGGCTTCTCGCCCGTGTGGATGCGCTGGTGGTCGGCCAGGTAGGCACTGCGGCTGAAGCTCTTGCCACACTCGGAGCAGGAGAAGGGCTTCTGGCCCGTGTGCACGCCCTGGTGGCGCACCAGGTCCGAGGAGCTGCGGAAGCTCTTGTCGCACTCCTGGCACTTGTGCGGCTTCTCGCCCGTGTGCGTGCGCTGGTGGCGCGCCAGGTCGGAGCCCCAGCGGAAGCGCTTGCCACACTGGCTGCAGCTGTGCGGCTTCTCGGCCGCCAGGTCCCGGAACTGCCGCCGGCGCGTGGGTGGCCGCCCCCGCCGCGCCCCCACTGCCCGCCCCCGGGGCACCCCCGGCCGGGTCTCAGCCTCCTCCAGCCTCCAGGACACGGTCACATCGCCAGCAGCCTGGCCCGGGAGCGCCGTCACCACCTCCTCCAGCCGGGATCTCTCGCTGTGGCTCGTGAGTCCCAAACCTGCAAGCGGGGAGGAGGCGGCCTCTTCAGTGCCATGCGGTTCCAGGGACAGAGTTGAGGGGAGGCAGAAACGAGGCTCCCGGCCAGCGCCTGGGGCTCAGGTTCAGACAGCCCTGGGCTCCGGCAAACTCCAGCCTCAGCTTCCTCCTCCATGGAATGGGGACACGAGAAAACGACGACAGAGAAACCGTTCAGAGTGAGCGGCAAGGGGCTTGCTGGGTGTCTCCAGCAGAGGCACTTACTAACTACAGGCCTAACCAATCTACGCCCCCTTCCCACACTGCGATCCAACGTCCCACCCCAAGCCCTGCCTATTCAAATGCCAAAACTGCGTAGATTGAGGTCATCTATAAATGATCCCAACCCTCACCATTTGTTATCAGCAACCAAGGAACCACAGGGCTCAGCTAACATGGTTCCTCTCGCTACACGAGCTCTTGTCCTCTCAGCTCAAGAACAAACGGAAGTGGATCAGGAGGGATCTTAGCTGGTCCCACTGGCTTGCACAGATTAAATGAGATGATCCCCAAACAGTGCTTAGGAAGGCCCTGACCTGGAGAGAAACCCAGCAGCGCGGCCTCTAGTGAGCAGGTGTCTCTCCGCACCTCTTCACTGGGCAGGCTGAGGGGGCCTCACAACCACGTTTGCAAGAAGTCCCAGCTCCGTCCCTTCAGTGTCCTTCAACCTCTCTGAGTCTCAGGTCCCTCGTCTATAAACGTGCACACGCTTTCATGCGGTGGGTTGTGAGGATCCCATGAGAAAATGCCTGTACCCGTGCTCAGCACAGTCCTGGCATGTTGCCCATGCCATCACAGGCAGAGAAAAGTGAACACCAGCACAAACGAAACCTCCGGGGGCTCTTAAAGAGACGCAGGGAAAGCCCTCTTTGGAGCCAGCTAAGCCAGGACTTGGGAGGAAGACTGAGGATTCCAGCAGGGTGTGCAGGGGTGGGGCCTGACTGGGCCCACCCGTTGCTGCTGGGACTCCAAGGAGGCGAGAGCCTCCAGCTCAAAAGTCAAGGACCCCTAGGCCCCTTGCTGTGCCCACTGCTTACCCAGGGCAACGTTCTGGGAGTTCTCCCTTTTTATGTCCCAGAAGAGATCTCTCTGAGCAGGGTCCAGGGACCCCCATTCTTCCCGGGAGAAATAGAAGGGAATGTCTCCAAATGTCACAGGTCCCTGGAATGAGGTGAGAAAACCCAGCTCAGGGCTGCCCTGCTCAGGACTCCCCAGGCAGTCATGGGCAGAGACATGAAGGGGGATGGGAAACAGGACAGGTCCAGGCCAGAAAAGGATGGATGGAAGAGGCCTTGGTGAGAAGGCAAGACCCATTACAGGGACTCATCAGCATCAGAGGGGACAAAGGAACTGGTAACTCACCCCAGAGGCAAAGCAGGTATCTGTTGTCTCTCTGGTGCTCCCCTCTTTAAGAAGAGCCGGAAGCTGGGCTGCAGGGAAAGAATGGAGCCTCAAAGAGGCCAGCCCAGGCCGGGAGTGAGATCTCGCAACTCTCCTTCACACACACACGTACACACCTTGCCTTCTCAGAACAGAAATACCCTTCTTGCTCCCTTTAGGGCAACGTCCAGGAAAGACCCAGGCCCCTGTCCAGCCACTCTGCCACCTTCAAGTTTACTCACCACCATGGCTGTGCTGCTCCCAAGGTACAGGTGGCCGGCTTTGTGTCCCTGCCTTCCGGGGAGGCCCCTGGGCCTGAGATCCCTGGACTGCAGCCTCAGGTTCCGCCCCCTCTGAGGGCACATCCTGTGCAGGAACCACAACATGCTCATCAGCACCAAGACCAGATGGGGGAGACAGAGTTTAATCCCTGGGAAGGAGACACAGGACACATCCCTCAGGAGGCTGGGTGTGGGGAAGAAGGTCAACACAGGGCCCCAGGAAAGACCAGATGAGAATGTGACACCAGGCAGTGCTATGTGCCCAGGGACACTCCCCAACCAAGCGTGAGGCAAGAACCAGCCCCCAAAGGCCAGAATCAAAGAGCCACTTAGCAAGGGGCAGTGGGGGGAGACCTTCCTGTCAAGGGCAGAACCCCACACCCCCGCCACACATTAGCATCTCCCCAGACGCTTCCAGTGTCAAGGACCCAACACCCCACAAGACAGCAGGGTTCACAGGGACAGCTCTACCTTCTCACACCCCCTTTGGTGCTCTCACTATGCACATCACTGTATCCCCAGGGCCTGGCCTAGAGCAGAACACAAATAAACGTTTGCAGAACCTGTGGAGCTAAAACCTGCCTTCCTGGAGCATGCCCACTTTGGTCCTGCTGCTACCCTCCAAAGCCACCAAAAAGAAACCAGATTCACTTGGACAGTGTCTTTCAGAAAGGCCACACATTATGACAAGCTCCTGTGGACGCTCCCTCTGGCTCTCCATGTCCTCTCCCACCCCCAACCCCCGCCCCACCCCCTGGAGGACTCATCTCTATAGAGATGGCCACCTCTCCTCAGTCCAGGTGCTATCCAGGTGCCCCTGGATGCGGGAGGGGCCCCTCACCTGTGGCCAAGCTTTCACTGGCTGCTTCTGCAGGTCCTCCACCAAGGCAACAGCTTCCTCGCCACTCCCTGGGCATCGTTCGCATACCCAGCCCTGGACGCCCACGGGCAGCACGCTCAGGAACTGCTCCAGCACCAGCAGCTCCAGGATCTGCTCCTTGGTGCGCAGCTCGGGCCGCAGCCAGCGGCAGCAGAGCTCCCAGAGCTGGCTGAAGGCCTCGTGGGGCCCACCCGCATCCCCGTAGCAGAACTGCCGAAAGCGCTGGCGGCACACCTCTGAATCCCTGCTGTCCTCTTGCTGGGCAGCGTCCTGCTCCCAGGAGGAATCTTCTACCTTCACGATCAGAAGCCCTTCTCCCTCCCCAGGGGCCTGGTCCTGAGGCTCTGGGGGGGCTGCCATTCCCCTGGCCTAAGGCTCAGGGCTGGTCAGCCTCAACCTGGGCCTTCAATCTCCCAGAGGGATCCCCAGTGGCAGCTGGGTTGGCATCTGGACAGGCACTCCTGGGGAAAGAGCAGAATAGCAGGAGGGGGGCGGTACATGAGCAATCACCAGCCTTGAGGGACATCCAGGGACTCCAGCTCCTGTTCTTCCCGGCCTTGAAGGCTATTTTAGGCTCTCCTATAAAGCCTTGCTCACATGACTCTCTCCTACCAATACAGATCCACGGCTCCTTATCCTCAGCTCCAAAATCCAAAACTCCCAGGTTTTCACCACCTGGTCTACTGACATGAGATGAGCATATTTATAACCTCAATTTATCTCACTTAATGTAAATGTTCATAGGTTCTATGGGAGAAATATTAATGTATTTGTTCAGTTTGTAAAAATCTATCAAGTTGTACTTCTGATGTATATTTCTGTATATTATTCTTCAATTAAAAAAAATTCTTTTTAACTGGGAATTCCTGGAGGTCCAGTGGTTAGGACTCTGCGCTTTTACTGCTAGGGACCCCGGGTTCGATCCCTGGGTGGGGAACTAAGACCTCGCAAGCCGTGCAGTGCAGCCAAAAAAACTGTTTTTTTTAAACTAATGTTTTGATTACTGAGTGTTGTACCAGATTGCGCTGGCGGCGTTATTTAATATACAATATATGTATTTTTCTCAAATTTTGTATTTTTCTCAAATTTTGGCCCCTAGTGTATCAGCAAAGGGCCCACAGACACCATCCTGAGCCATTTATCCAGATACACATGAACGTGAGACATAGTTATACGTTACTGCTTCTCTTCACAACAGTCCTGAAAGGTCTGTATTTTGAAATATATATATATTTTTTTGGTACACGGGCCTCTCACTGTTGTGGCCTCTCCCGTTGCGGAGCACAGGCTCCGGACGCGCAGGCTCAGCGGCCATGGCTCACGGGCCCAGCCGCTCCACGCCGTGTGGGATCTTCCCGGACCGGGGCACGAACCCGTGTCGCCTGCATCGGCAGGCGGACTCTCAACCACTGCGCCACCAGGGAAGCCCTGGAATATTTTAAATTGCTTTTTGTTTCAACAAAAAAAGTGATACAAACCATTGTAATAAAAGGGGGAGGGGGTTAAACAATACAGTAATACATAAAAGAGAAACTCTTCCTTCCACACTGCAGCTGCACCTCCATTAACAGTCTGACATATGACCTCCCAAATCTTGCCCTGTTCATTTACTGGAAATATATCCATAGAAACCGGGAGAAAAGTGCTTTGTGCGTGTTTTTACATAAATCAGGTCTTACCGCAATACTATTTTGTCATTTGCTTTTCTACCCAACAATGCTGCCTCAGCCGCTATAGGGGATTCCGTGGTATGGATATACTCGTTTCTTAATGAATACCCACCCGAGTGAGGCATTCAGGTTGTTTCCAATTCTTTACTACTACACACTAAGCACTTTATTTAGTGTATTCTGAAAGGTAAGCTCTCCATGCTCATCCTCCAGTGACCGAGGAGAAGGCTCCGCTCGGACAGAGCCAGGGACTCACCAGGGTCGCTCAGTAGGACTCGGCAGTCGGGAACGCGGACCCGGCCAGAGCTCCGCGCTCGGTCCCAGCAGCCTTGCCTGAGCGGAGATGAGAGGCGGAGGGGCGGGCAGCGGGTGCGGCGCCCCAGGCTTCTCCCCTGCACCTCCCTGAGGTGCGCGCCCCCTTCGGCCTCTGCCTCGGGGCGCCGGCCCCGGCCTCCCGGAGCCCTGCGCTCGACCTCGGAGCCAGGCGGGCCGCGTCGCCTGTCCCGCCCCCCAGGACTCACACCGCCCACAGTCGCCCAGGCGTTCCCAGTTTCCGCCTCCAGGTTTCGGCGCCGGAAATTCGCGCGGGGCTCGCCGGGAAACAACATGGCGCATGCGCTGAGACAAGCACTCCCAACTACTCTCCCCAGGAGGGCGGTCGCCTACTATACCGGCCTTCTCCCTGACGGATGACCAATGAACGGTGAGAATTTCCAGGGATGGCCAATCAGAAGGCAGTGACGTCATGTGGTCAACACCCATGCCCCCAGGCTGAGGTCTGCCCCTAGATTCGCGCTTTCTCCCTCTCGCCTTGTCTTTCAGTTTTCTGTGTTCCTCTGACCCGTGAAGGGTGAAAAGGAAAAGCCAAGGCTGGCCTGCTGGGCAGAGATGTCTCTGGGCCCAGCTACGAGTGGATCGCCTGTTCCGCCGCAAGGGATGCTCGGGCGTGGACTCTTCCTTCCGTCCCCTGCTCTTTCCGCTACACAGTGGGTCGAGAGCTGAGGGGGCCGTGGTCCAGGAGCCGGAACTCAGCCTTAGGAGACTCGTTTATAGCTTTTAGGGTCCCGCACCCACCCAAATAGTCTTTAGCCGCTTCTAGCAGGGCGCGGAGCTTGCTGGGAAATGCAGTCCAGTGAGGGGCCGGGAACCTCCTGCGCCGATCCTCTGTTCCCGAGGGTCGGCTAGGGTCTCTCAGCAGGATGCGGCCGTCGGGGACGCTGACCCCGACCAGCAGATTTGACTGAAGGACAGCGGGGCTCTCCAGGCTGGGGAGAATCTAAAGCAGGCGGGCCGCGTCGGGGAAGCTCTATGCATTTGGACCTGCTGCCACCCTCTTCTTACTCCCCTTGGAGATATGAGGCTCCAGATCTTTTTCTGAAATAGAAAAGCCTTTCTTGTGGTGGTTGTTGTTTGATTATGCAAGTATTGCATCCTTAGTGTAGGAAAGAAAATAAAGTACGGAAAATTTTAAAGGCATCCATATCCACAAAGCTAACTTCCTCACTCGGCTCACATGGCACTCCCTCAAAGTGGTTTTTCCCTAACCCTATGTAAACAGCACCTGGCCCCCGCTGCCATGCCTCTGCCCTGCCTTATTTTTCTTCCTAACTTTTATCACTACCTGACATATTTGTATATTTGCCCCCCACTACTCGACTATAATTTTCATGATATCAGACTGTTTTCACTGCCCTACTTCCAGAATTTAAATACTGTGCCTGGCACAGTATTTGTTGAAAAACTGATGGTTAAAATAACTGAAAGTTAAAAATATCCCTAATAAGGCCATCCAGAAATAAGCACTATTAATATTTCAGTCTTAAGTTCTACATCTATGATTATTTCTAAGGTAAATCTGGAATAATTCTATTTAATGAATTTTTGTTGGCTCAAGTCTATCAAAGAGGACTTCCCTGGTGGTGCAGTGGTTAAGAATCCGCCTGCCAATGCAGGGAACACGGGTTCGAGCCCTGGTCCGGGAAGATCCCACATGCTGCGAAGCAACTAAGCCGTTGCCCCACAACTACTGAGCCTGCGCTCTAGAGCCCGCGAGCCACAACTACTGACCCCGCGGGCCACAACTACTGAAGCCCGCGCACCTACAGCCCATGCTCCGCAACGAGAAGCCACCTCAGTGAGAAGCCTCCGCACCGCAACGAAGAGCAGCCTGTGCTCGACACAGCTAGAGGAACCCCGCGCACAGCAACGAAGATCCAATGCAGCCAAAAATAAATAAATTTTAAAAAATTCATCTCAGATAACAGTAATGCCTTGTGGAGACAAAATATTACAAAAAAAAAAAAGTCTATCAAAATCCATCTGTTGTGCAAGGTGCATAGTATTCCAAATCATGGAAGTTCCATATTCCATTTAAAGTCCCCTACTCTTGGATATTTAGATTGTTTCAATTTTTCCATTTGTAGATGTTTACTACGTACACCTTCCTGCATTTTCTTGAACTACTTGCTGGAAGGGATGAGCCCAGGCTGTTCTAAGAAGACCGCTGAAGTGGATGCTACTGGGCTCCCTCTCCTCCCCTTACTGGCCCCAGTGGAAAACTACACAAGGAAGAAGGAACTTGAAAGTCCCTTTTTCCAGTGTGCCCTTACATTGTTCTTCACCCTGTACTGACAAAGATTAACAACAAGTTGGCTTGCAAAAGAGAAACGTCCATGGGATCCGGCTCCATTACCACAAAGCAGGACAAAAGGGTGTATTGGGGGTTTGAGGGACAATAAATTAATAACTAGCACACCTACCATATATTCTATTGGGCATTGCTGATGGATGATAATTTGTATATAGTTATATTGAAATTGACCACCTTATTGTACTTTCCTTCTGATAGTTTTTTATTTTTCTATGATGTAAAAAGGGAAAATTGTCTTTCCAGAAAATTTATATTCATTTCCAGAATTTATACTCATTATTTTCTTAGTCTTATAGCATTGTCTAGAACTCCCTAAATATCTTGGGACTTCCCTGGTGGCACAGTGGATAGGACTCCGTGCTCCCAATGCAGGGGCCCCAGGATCGATCCCTGGTCAGGGAACTAGATCCCACATGCATGCTGCAACTGGGAGTTCACATGCCACAACTAAGGAGCCAGTGAGCCACAACTGAGAAGCCCTGCAGCCGCAACTAAGGAAACCATGTGCTGCAACTAAGGAGCCAGTGAGCCACAACTAAGACCCGGTGCAACCAAGTAAATAAATAAACAAACAAATAAAAACCCTGGACCTGAGCCCCAGCTTCCAGCTCTCTGGTTCAATGACTTTGGACAAATTATTGGACTTCTTGGCCCGTTTCCTCTTCTATAAAACCGAGATGAAACCCACTGCTCAGACTTGTAGAGCGTTGAGGAAACGTATATATGGTGCTTGGCCCCACGCCTGACAGGGCAGCTGCCACTGGCAGCTATTAGTACCATTCTCAGTCTGCTGTCCTGTTCAAGACATTTCATCCCTTATTGGCTGGGAGCTAACCGGGGCTGTGACTGCCCTGCTGGCCCTGTGATCTGCAGAGACAGGTGGGGTCCCAACAGCCTCCCTGATGCAGACGTCCTCAAGGTCATTTGGTGTCAGACTGAATGTAATTGTGAGAGCTGAGCTGCAAACCTAGGACAATAAGCAAGCTGAGCCCACCCCTCCCCAGCGGGAGAAAAAAAAACGTAGAGAATGGGAAGCTTCAGAGCTAAAAAACCAGAAGGCCAAGAGTAAAACAGCCAGGCAGGGGCGGATAGGGCAAATTATAAAGGACATGTGCAGAGAGACCAAGGAGGTGAGAAATAGGAGAGGAAGCTGGCAGCAGCCTCAGAAAGGACCAGGAGGGGCAGGGTCCCTGGTAAGTGAGAAATCCTCACTGGATTACAGCTGGGTCCTCAGGGACGCAGGTGAAAACGTCCAGTCACAAAATGCAGGCCCCAGTGCCTGAGACAGGAGACAGGGAAGGCAGGAGACACTGAGCATGAATTCCCATGCTGGCTCGGCCCTCCTCCCGGCTCCCAAAGAGAAGAGCCCAGGGAGGGTCCAGAGCCCAGTGGGCAATGCCTGGGACAAGTGGCCACAGCAGCAGACCACCTCACCAGGTCCACAATTTCAGAAGTGGCCAGCTGACTTCAGGTTTGGAAACCTCTGTGCTCAGAAGCCTTTGCTATAGGCTCTGGAATGGGTCCAAGCCAGATGAAGGCTGGGGAGGAAGGTGCCCAAGCCCCCAGAGGGATGACATAGGGATGGCTGAGTGAGGAGACACTGGGTTGACTCCGGAGGCCCCACTTCCCCCCGCCAAGTCTGGGGTCAGCCTCCAGGGCCCGAGACAGAGCTATAGGCCGTCGCTCGAATTCCAAGGCCTTTAATTTGCAGTGAGCATGCCTCCTCCTCACCCGAGCTCCTCCCGTGTTGCCGCGCCCCATCCCCATGCCAGCACCTCCCCAACTCCCTTCCTGGGCCTCCCAGGTCACACCCCCGCAGCAGCTGCCCCCGCTACAATCCCCCTCCTTCCCTGTCTCCAGGCCAGCCCCTGTCTCTCAGCCTCCTAGGTGGGGGCTGGAGGGGGTGCCGCCAGAGCCCCGGCTGCCCCCAGCATCAGCATGGCCAGGGCCTTGGGCCCCGCCGTGTGGATCTTCTCGTGCCGGTGCAGATTGGAGCGCCGGCTGAAGCTCTTGCCGCACAGGGGGCAGGAGTAGGGCCGGACACCACGGTGGGTGCGCTGGTGGGCAGTGAGGTGCGAGCTGTGGCTGAAGCTCTTGCCACAGTCGAGGCAGTGGTAGGGCTTCTCGCCGGTGTGCGTGCGGTTGTGGGCGATGAGGTTGGAGCGCTGGCTGAAGCACTTGCCGCACTCAGGGCACGGGTAGGGTTTGACCCCGGTGTGGGTGCGCTGGTGGGTGACCAGGGCTGAGCTCTGCGTGAAGCACTTGCCGCAGATGGGGCATTTGTGCGGCTTGGCGCCCGTGTGGGTGCCCTGGTGGGTGACCAAGTCCGAGCGGCGGGTGAAGCGCTTGGCGCAGCGGTCGCACACGTAGGGCTTCTCACCCGTGTGGATGCGCTGGTGCTGGATCAGCGTCGAGTGGTGGCTAAAGCTTTTCCAGCAGGACGGGCAGGTGTAGGGCTTCTCTCCGGTGTGGATGATCTGGTGCTGGATGAGGTGTGAGCTGCGGCCGAAGCGCTTGCCGCAGTCCGTGCACGCGTAGGGCTTCTCGCCCGTGTGCGTGCGCCGGTGCGTCACCAAGTGCGAGTGCCAGCTGAAGGCCTTGCCGCACTGCTCGCACTTGTAGGTCTTCTTGCCGGCGTCGCCGTCAGGGGCCAGGCCCTCCTCGCTGCTCTCAGGGGCGGTCGTCTCCCCCTCTCTGGGTTGCTCTGGGAAGCGGCCCTCCTGGGCTTTCGGGATGCCGATGTCAGGCGGGGCTGGTTCCGACTGTGCCTCCACCGCGGGACCCGGCTGCACATCGTCCTTGGCTGGCCCTGAGCTCTGGCCGCCGGCTGCTCGCTGCCCACACCGTGGGGCGTCCCCCTGGGCTCTCCCCACCCTGCTTTTGAAGGACTTCATATCCCCAAGGGCTCCCAGGGATGGGGCTAGCTCCTCCTTGCCCACCTCCACGGCTCCTGGATAAAGAGGGATTCCAGCAAGGCAGAGGCTTTCATGAGGGCCCCGGGGGAATTGTAGAGCTAGAAATTAGGGCAAGGACCTGCTGGGAACCCTGGAAGCAAGAGCCACCCTCCACACAGGAGGGAGGGCTGGCGGCCCTGCCCCAGGAGGGGCTGTGTGTCTGCACCCCACAGAAAACAGCCCGCACTGACATGGGGCACCTGGGAGTGACAGCCACGACCCTGCTGCCCCGCCCACCTGTCACCTCTGCACGCACCTCTCTTCTCCTCCTCCTCATCTCCCATCTGCTGGCAGGATCCCGAGGCCTCGCCCTTGCCCTGCACTTGAGAGGCCCAGAAAGGCCTGCTGAAGGGAAACCCTGCTTGGGAAGAGATGCTGTGCTCAGTCAGGGCCTTTCGGGCTGCACAGCAAGGAGAAACCAACCCCCACCTCCCCGGAGAGATGATGGAGCAAAAGAAGAGGGGATGCAGCTCTGCACAGGGCAAAACCAAGTGAGCTCAACAGTCACTGGGGGCAGATGGCCATGCCCTCTCAGGATGCACACTCCGGGGCAACCTCCAGGCACACTCTTCTCAGGGCTGGGCCAGGTCAGCTGCTGGCCACCTCTATGTCACACTGTCCCCAGCAGTGAGTCCAGCAATGTCAGAAACCAGATGCAGTCTTCCTATCCTGCACCTGCACCTTCCCAGGATCACAGGCAAAAAGGGCTCCTGGGGGAGGGGCAGTGGGCAAAGAGAGGCGAAGTGGGAGGGCCTGCGATAAGAGGGCCAGGGACACTGACCACCCAGAAGTCAAGGACCAAAGGCCCATTTGCCAAGTACCCCAGGGTGAGGGCCTGGGAATTCTGGTCAAGTCAGGAAGAGAGCAGAGGGGCCCTGGCCTCCATGCCCTGATCCAAGCCCCATGGTGGGGAAAGAATGTTTGGACCAACTGGGTGGTTTAGGGCATTTGTGAGGCCTGCCATGGGGCTGTGGAGTGGATGCTGGTTCCCTCTGATCTCCCAAGACTTGCCTGGACCTGCTGGCCTGGGCCCCAGAGAGTGCTAACAATGGGTGGTGAGCAAACCAGAGATAATTAAAGGTGTGAGCACAGCAGCTGCTGTGACCCCGGGGTCCACCAGGGACAACAGGGGTCTTGGCCCGCCATCAAAGTCAGAGGGTGGAATCACCAAGACCCTGGCTCCACCTGGACTAGCAGGTGTGCAACAGATGTGCACTGACAGACAAACAGACTGAATGACCGAATGAATGACAATGAATGAATGAATGCTGATTTTTCCATAAGCCCTCATAAAAGTCTGCCATGAAAACTAGAGCCTGAAACTGAGGAATCAAAGCCCTGGGACTTTACTGCTTACCATGAGAAAAACCAAGGGAGCCAAGGCCCCTCTGAGAAGAGGACACGGCCCTGGGGTGGATGTGACAGCTCAGAGTCAAAGGCCTGGAGGGATTAGCTGGCACTGTTCCCCATCCCCTGGGCTAGCAGCCCAGCCCAGAGCCAGGCTTTCTGGTCAGATACCTCTGAAGCTGGGCTTGGAAGTGGGGGAACTACTGGAATAAGCTAGGGAAGAACTGGAGAGAAGCACAGTCTCTAGGTCGGCACTGTCCAGCACAGCAGCCGCTAGCCACATGTGGTTATTTCAATTCAAATCTGAGCTGATTAAAATGAGATAAAACAAAAAACTCAGTTGCCCTAGCTGCATTTCTAGGGGTCAATAGCCACATATGGCTCATGGCTACCATATCAGCACCGACCAGAACACATCCATCACTAGGAAGCTTCTATAGTACAATGAGGTCTGGATGAACCACAAGAGGGGGTTCAAGCCCTGGAAAGGGAGGAGGAGGTGATGGCAGATAGGCCCCACCGCTGACTTCCCAGGGCCTCAGGAAGCAGCACCCCAGCACGAGTGAGCCCTTACCCAAGGACAGCCCATGCCTCTTCTGCAGGATATCCCTGTAGAAGCTCTGCTGTGTGTGGTCCAGCCGCCCCCACTCCTCCCGGGAGAGGTACACAGCCACATCCTCAAAGGTCACTGGCATCTGAAACAACATGAAATGCCCACTCTCCAGGACACGCCAGGATGTGGTGGAGGGGCATCGTGGTGCCAGGACAAGGGCAAGACCCCGACTCCCATCCTGCTGACTCAAGTGAGGCTGGCCCTCGGGTGTGATGAAGCAGGACAGTTGCCCAAGGAAGGCTTTTGGGGGCAAGAACAAAGCGCTTGTGTACAGCAGAAGACAAGAGACAAAAACAAGGATCCTTCTTTTCAGCACCACTGCCAAAGCTCAGGATCTCCAGTCCCCACCCGCAGGTCCAGCGCTCAGATCCAGAGGATGATTCAGAGACGCTGTCCCTCCACGTCCTTCAGCTCCAGCTGTGGATGGGGACACTCACCTGGGACCAGGCAGTGAGGAGCGCCGCGGCCATCCGCCGGTCTCTGGTCCTCCCCTCGTGAGAGAGCACAGGGATCTGGGGGGAGGGGAGGGCTGAGAGAGGAAAGAGGTCCTCAGCGCGGCCACCTCATCCCGCTTGGCCCTCCTACTCCCTGCAGTGAGCTCATGCCAGGCCCACCAGGGAGACCCACAGTGCCTCCAACTCCACCCCCGACCTGATCCAAGAAGAGGGTCAGTGGGCTCTGAGGGTGAGCGGGGGCGGCCTCCAAGGGGCAGGTGGGGCAGACATCAGGGTCTCCCCACCCGGGCTGAGCGTCCACCTGGGAAAGTGCCTCTCTCCACATCCCCCTCCTCACCTCCGCCAGGCAGGAAATGTGCTTTCTCCTTAGAGCCCTGGCTTAGGGGCACCCAGCCCCGTACTCCTTGAGCTCTGGCCTCCTGTGATGCCCCCTCAGGGTGCGGCTCTTCCGGCTCCATCTTGATGTGGGGTGACTCCTGAGCGGCTCCCAACGGCACTGTCCCCTCCGACTCGGAAAGCATTTCTTGACAAGAATGCCCATGACGTGGAGTCTAGAAATAACAGCCCCATCAGCACTGGGACAGAGAATGGGAAACACAGCAGAACTCCACACTCGGGGACCTGCAGAAGCAGACACCAAGGGTGGCAGAACGCACACCCAGATGCAAGGCTGGCCCTGCTTCCGTCTCCGTCCCTGAGACCTGCATATCCGTGGTTCACCCCTGTGAGGCAGGACAGTGAGGGAAGGAGGGGAGGCTCATCGAGGCCCTGCTGGGTGCCCACAGGGCAGATGCCTCTGCCCAATTTGAGCCTCCCACCTCCCACAGGAGTGTGGATTGTTATTCTTTTAATATATGAGGAAACCGAATGTAGTTGGCTGGGTTGAATAGTGTACCCTCAAAATTCATGTCCACTTGGAACCTCAGAATGTGACCTTATTTGGAAAAAAGGTCTTTGCAGATGTAGTTATGGATCTTGAGATGAAATAATCCTGGATTCAGGTTGGGCCCTGAATCCAATGACTGGTGTCCGTAGAAGAGGAGAGGGCACAGGGGCTTCCCTGGCAGTCCAGTGGCTAGGACTCCCGCTTTCACTGCCGAGGGCCTGGTCAGGGAACTAGGATCCCACAAGCCATGCGGCAGCCAAAAAAAAAGAGGAGAGGACACAGAAACAGAGGAGAAGCCATGTGAAGATGGAAGCAGAGGTTGGAGTGATGCTGTCACAAACCAAGGGACGCCTGGAGCCACCAAAAGCTGAGAGACAGGAAGGATCCTCCCCTAGAGCCTTGGGAGGGGGCCCTGCTGACCCCTTGATTTTGGGGTTCTGGCCTCCAAAGTGTGAGAGAATAAATGCCGGTTGTTTTAAGCCACCAGTTTGTGGTCCTTTGTTACAGCAGACACAGAAAACTCACACCTCCAGGCTCTGAGATCAGACAATGGCCCAAGGTCACACACAGCTTGGAGTGACTCGGCCAGGACTTGAACTCACTGTATCAGACTCACAAGTCACCCCCAGGGCCATAACTTCTTGAAAGTGACAGGAAGACATGTGGCCTTGGGCCATTTCAGTCCTAACTCAATTAGTCAGAGCTGTTGGCAGTTTCTGATTTGGAAAAAATAAGTCCAAGCATACCTCTAACTGTGCTGAGGCCTTGCACCCACCTAAGTCTGATGGAAGGGAAACTCCTCTCAGGCTCACCCCCTTTAGCACTGTCCCCCACAATGGGACTGCCAGGATCCTCCCTCCCCTCTTCATAGCAGCCTCTGCCCCAGCCCTCTGGGAGGTGAGGAGCAAGCTTCTGAGTCAGGCTACCGGGGCTGGAATCCAGAACCACCGCTTACCAGCCTTTCAGTCCTGAGCAGAGCAGAGCACTGGGAAAGTCACTTCCCTTGCACTGGGAGGCCCTGGTGAGGCCTCATCATCACCACCCATAGCACTGGGCACCGGCCAGCCTTCTGCTGGGAACTCAAGCCTATCTCTCCACCTCCCCACCCACCTCAGTATATAAGACTCTCAGGCCAGGAGTCAAAGTTCCTGGGAGCCACACAGGCCAGGCGGCCTCCGAGACTCAGCTGCTCTGCCTCCACACAGATAACACGTGAGAAACAGCTCTCCACTCCACAAAGTTCTGGATAAACAAAGAGCAGTGCTGGTAATTATTATTATTACTCTACTGTGTGAGCTGACAGAATCCAACATCAGCACAGAATGTTGTGGACATATGAGGCCCACTGGGAGTTACAAAGGCATTATGGAAGGGAAACTGAACTGCAGTAAAAATTCTTTGTGCTTCTATGGTATGAAAACAGAACTGACACTTGATTTGTACTTGAACTTACAGCCACTGGAAACCGTAGCTGAGGATTTCCAGGTTTCTCTGACCTAGGTTCTAGTTGCTGTGGGTGGTGTTGTTTTATATGTTACAATAATGAGCACCTACGGGCTGATGAGCTGCTCACAGAGGCCTCTCATGCCTATTATCTTCTCTGAGCCTCCCAATCACCTGGCAAGACAGGTGGGAATGGCAGGCACATGATCCGCATTTTATAGATGACACACCTGGTTCCCAGAGGCCAAGGGACCTGCCCAAGGTCGCACATCCCGCTGCAGCTGACTCATGTTCCCCCAGTCCCAAGCTTGGTAACCCTGGTCTCCCCGCAAGTCGTAACTACGCACACACAGGCAACAGGTACAGGAAGGGCTATGTGCTCAGACCCAGAGAGAGAGGAGGTGCGGGCCCAGGCAGAGGGGAGTAGAGGGTAGACTGAGGCTTGCCCATATGCTCTGAGCACTGTTCAGAGAGCAAACCCCACCCACAGGACCCCTGTGTAGCCCCCTTACTATCTCGTGTAGCCTTTGGTCTGCTGACTACCGAATTCACGAGGCAAAGCAAAG